CTCAGGCTTGATTAACAGGAAGGAGAGAATACTTAGGACACTTGTTACAGGTACATGATGTCTCTTCTTTATCACTTATTTTTTTCCTGTTGTGTATCAATGTGTATTCGAAGAATAGTGAAGATAAAAAGTAGATTTTCTTTAAAACAAATCCTCCTTATTCAAATATTATGTACTCCAGATTGTACTGTCTCCAGACTGGTAAAAGCCTGCACATTTATTTACCATGATGGTTTGCTGTTTATGCACTTCCTTTATTTTGTTCTTCCTTTTTTGTTTGTTTATGCATAGATCTAGATACCGTGTTGCTCTTATTACTGAAATAGATGAGCAGCGTTAAAGAAGGCTTACAAACTATTGGGAGGGAGAATGTCATTTACAATTACAATTCTTTCTCATGAAACATTCACTACTTTTAAGTCTATTTATTTAGTGCCTGCTAACTATAGCCAGGATGATGATTGAATGCTTTTTCATGCAGGCTCATGGAGACTTGAAGTGGAATAAGATTCACCTTTGGAATTCACTGAGATAACTTTTGTCAACAGCAAGAAATTGCATGCAAAGTGGGAAGGTCAAGAATGTGCTGAATGTTTTGGCATCATCAGTACTGTATTAATCCAATTTCTGATTGTGCCTTGCTGTACTAGTTCTCTATTAATAGTTTCTTATCCCAAGAGTATGTTTTGCTCCACACTGGGGGAAAACACCTTGCCTTGAAAATACGGTTTGTGGTTCTATTAAAGTGCTTTTGGCAGAAACTAAGATTAATACCTGTCTGAGGCAGGTTGTGTTTCCCTGTCAAGTGGCAGATGGGTTGGTTGTCTGTGTAAACAGTCAGACTTGCTCTCTGATGTGGTGTTCTTGCTGCAAAATTGTTAGGCTGGGACTTAATTCCAACTTTACCAGGATTTTAAAGCATCAAAAATTATGGCTGAAGGGGTTGAATTGAACTCTTTGATAACTGACAGACAGGATCTGGCTGCGATAGACTTGTGGAAGGGTGTAGAGTATGAACTTTATATGAGAGGATGATGTTTTATGTGGAAATAAACTGATACAGAAGCTTGTGCTTTGTCGTCTTCCCCTTATGCATCACCTCCTGTGCATCTTATAAATGCAGACATAATACAGAGTGTAAAGAAGAAATGGATTTCATGAATTGGTTTGTAAGCCTGAGTTAAAGTCTTGCTGTTATTTTCCTTCCCATTTTCTTCCTTCCCTGCCACTGACCTGACCTGTGCTGCTCTTGTGCCCCTTTGTCCCTGGGAAGTGAGGGACACCAAGAGTTTAGACGTTGGTTTTTGCTTTTTCTGGTTTGGTCTATCAGTGAGATGCCTTTGAGCTTTTTAGGAAAACATAGCTGAACATTTTCTTTTTGGAAAGAAAAATGTTAAAACTGTACTCATGGGGCTTTAAAAGAGAATTTTCCTTCTCATTTTGCATTTAATATATTGAACGTGTATACACTGTGCTTAGCACTCACTACTGGTGTAGAGCCTTGCTCATTCTGGAATGCACATAAAGTGAAAATAAGCTGGTGTGCTCAGGAGTTGTGAGATTTGTGTCCCAGTTTTCATTCGTAACAACACTTGGACTGTGTTGTTCTGTCACTCCATGTTGGTAATATTTTGATTTTTATGTCTTTTCTCTTGAGCTGGAAAAATGAGAATCTTGTTTTTGCCATAGCGAGTTCTTTGCTTGTCTCTAAACACAAATTGCAGCAGTGCACCATCAGAATGGTGGGGATGTCTTGACAGGATATTCCATATAATATTATATGTTATATTCCATATAACTTTAGATCCAGAAAAGATTTTCAATAATCTAAAAATATAAAGCTACAAATTCATCTCTTCCATCATTTGTTTTGAATGCCTGTTTTCATGAAATTAGTTCAGAGTCCTGATGGTTCTGGCTTAAATCTTAAAATCTTCACCAAGTCCTAGGATTGAATTTTCATGAATAAACAGATGTTAATTTTGGAAAGCAGGAAATGCTATGGTTTTGTTGCATTGCTGTTTGTTCACGTTTCTCTGAAGGGGAGTCCTGGCCTGAGAGACATGATTCTGTAATTAGAATATTAGTTACACTAGATCACCTCTTTCAGCTTTACTGGAAATCAGTGCTTTTCACGCTTTGCTAAGTGAGATGCACAGAGACAGGCACTAAAAATTACACGTTACACTTCAAACTCTTCCTCTGTCTTGATATTTTCCTTGGTACTGAGGCCTTTGGCTGCTGAAGAGAAAAATGTAGGATACATGCTGTTCTTTCATAGCTTTCATTTCCTCAAAACTATTATTATTTTCCTTGGAAGCCAGTCTGAGCAGAAAGCGTCAGTCATGGTTCTGTGTGTCTGGTGGCACAACATTGATGTGTCATCTCCTGGTGTCACAAATAAATGAGTTTTTCCAGGTCAGGACAGAATTTCAGCTCATTTCTCCCGGACTGTTTGCACTGGAGAAGCCTCATAGTAACAACTCAGCTTTTTTTTTCCTCCAGGAGGAATGTCTGCCTTTTGTTCTTACAACTCATTGTTCTTTTCTGAATGCCTTCCCCATAAGTGCCTTGTGGGGTTTTTTGTTTGTTTTTCACTCAGACTAAAAATCTTGAATTAATTTGTGAAATGGTGTTTGAACTTTCTAACAGAAGTTAGTCAGGTTGGTGTTCAGTGAGACAAAGCTGCAATTATCTCTATTTTTGTACTCCCGAGGGGCTTCATTACAGCAGCTCCTTTCTCCCCGCTGCTGTGTCCCGGCAAGGTGAGGTTCAGGATTCAACAGACACAACAAATTATTATTTTCTGTCTGTGTAGTATTTCATCCCTGCTGATGGAACATTTAACTGGAGGTTTGTTTTTGGTTTTTTGGTTTGGTTTTTTTTGTTGTTGTTGTTGTTTTTTTTTTTTCTCCTTTCTGTTGTTGTAGTAACAGGAGAATCTGCGCAAGTTCAGACAGAGCGTGTATTATTGAATACTTGTTTGGTAGTCTTGGTTTGAAAAGCCAGGTGTCTGCTAAGGAAGGTGGGAGCCTCCCCTGAAATGGAAAATGTAAACTGCCTCCCTCTGAATTGTTATAATTTTGAAATTAAGGGTCTCTCAGGCAAAGATATGTGAAGAAAATGAAAAAAAAAAATAAGAAGTGCAGTAATACAGAACAAGACTGGCAGAGTCAGAGCAGCCCTGGCAGGCTGTGGGTCAGGGAGGTGGCAGCAGCCCCATCCCAGGGTGGCTCAGCCCTCCTGCAGTGCCAGCTGTGCTTCTGCTGGAGCAGGATCCTGCACAAGGGGGGAGTTTTCCTCTGGAGCTCCCGGGCTGGGGGAGATGGGCCTGGGCTCCTCTGGGAATGCAGTGGGGAGAAAGCTGCTCCTCTGGGAATGCAGTGGGGAAGAAAGCTGCTCCTCTGGGAATGCAGTGGGAAGAAAGCTGCTCCTCTGGGAATGCAGTGGAAGAAAGCTGCTCCTCTGGGAATGCAGTGGGGAAGAAAGCTGCTCCTCTGGGAATGCAGTGGGGAAGAAAGCTGCTCCTCTGGGAATGCAGTGGGGAAGAAAGCTGCTCCTCTGGGAATGCAGTGGGGAAGAAAGCTGCTCCTCTGGGAATGCAGTGGGAAGAAAGCTGCTCCTCTGGGAATGCAGTGGAAGAAAGCTGCTCCTCTGGGAATGCAGTGGGGAAGAAAGCTGCTCCTCTGGGAATGCAGTGGGGAAGAAAGCTGCTCCTCTGGGAATGCAGTGGGAAGAAAGCTGCTCCTCTGGGAATGCAGGGGGCAAAGGCTGCTGTGCTGTTCCCAGGTCGGATTGTATCCAGGTAGGAATGTTTGGCTCCTCCCCTGGGCAGAGCATCTCCCCATGGGATGGTGGAATTTTCTCAGCCATGCAGGGACACTCACTGGCCCATGAACAGATAATTAATAATTAATGACCCATAAATAGAAGAGATCTCCTGGAGGGAGAATTGGTTGTGGGAGAGAGAAAGAAAAAACTGCCCAATGAACAGAGGATAACTGCCCCACAGACAGGAATAGATTACACCCCCCATTTCCAGCCTAAGACAATAGTGATGTGGCAAAAGTATCAACAGTTCTGCTGCATCAGCTCCTCCACTGCTATCAGCCAAAGACAGGGACACTTCAGCCCCAAAATGGCTTTAAACTGCTCTATTTCTAATATTGCTTAATGCAATTTGGCAGGCACATAGTGCTCTCTTAAAGCCTCCAACAACACTTTCATGATGGACTAGTGTGGGTTTAAGCAGGCTTTCCTGAAGTTTTAGATCTGCTGATCCAACCCTGAGGGCAAGTACTTAATGCTTCAGACCCTCCAGACTGTTAGTTACACTTCATAGTAACATTTCCTTCTTCAGGTAGGGCTTTGTCTTTTCATAACACTTAAACCTCCTTTAATTTGACAATTTTAGCTATCAAAGCTGAGGCTTGAGTGGCAGGATGAAACTGTAATAAGGATACATTTGGTCACAGGCACAAAAACTGTCTTACATTTATACTTTCCACTGCAGAAAATTGTCCCTGTTGCACACCTGTTGTTTCAAGACCCTTTTAATAATTTTTTAATAAATATTTTTTTTTTTTTGCTTATATATTTAGTAGGACATAGTTCTTTTTTTATAGTGATATCTTTGCCAGCATTTAAGTATTCAGTGCAAGTCAGGGGAACTGAATAGTTTATTCATGCATTTATAACTCCTTGTTAAGGGAATGTCTATAATATTTTGAAAAGAATGTACTTAAGTAACTACCTGCAATTCACAGAGCTCTCTGCCTGGAAAGTGAGCTTTAGGTATTGTTCAATATTTATTTTTAGAAATTGTGGTAATCTGGAGAGGTCTATTCAAATATTTTACTTAAAAGAGAGTATGTCAATATTTGGCAGGATGCAAATTCTGACTTTCTCAGATTCTCTCAGCAAGGAGAGGGGGAAAAAATGTACCAAAACCATTGAGAATTAAATGCTCTGGTGTTTTGCATTATTTTGTTGCATTTCAGTGGAAGATGGATTTTAAGAGTGAAGACCCCAACCTTCTGCGTGGGGAATTTGTCCCTGAGATTGAAGACAAGGTAGAGTATCCACGTGAACAGTCTGTGGTAAGAAGTAAATAGGAGAAACTTACTTAGCAGCCTCTAGTCCCAAAAATTCCTTGATTGCCTATGTAATAACGTGAGGAATCTGACATTTCTGTGACTTGCTGAATGTAAATGAGATATATAATAAATATATTTATTACATATATATATTGGTATATATTAATATTTATTGATATAATAAAAGACACTTTGAGAAAGTGTATGAGGACACAGTAAAGAGGAATTCTAAACTATTTATCCTCACGTTCATGAGGGAGGGGTCAGTTCCCCATCCATTTGGGTTAGATGGGGATCAATTTTCTGTAATGAGGGAACAGGAGAGAGCCTGGCTGTGCCTTTCCCAAAGCTTGCACAGCACCTCCCTGCTGCCTTTTCATCCCTCTGCACACATTTTCTCCCTGTATTTGGGGAAAACAGCAGAACAGCAGGTGTCTGTTCACTGTAGGGTTATAAGGTGAGTCCTGGTTTATTGAGGACTTCCTAGAAACACAATTTTCTAAATGAGTGTGTTCCCAAGGATCCTAAGTGGCTAAAGAGAGAGGGAGAGAGCACCTGCTGGCTTGGTAATTGATTGCTGGAGTGAGAGCAATTCCTGAAGAGCTTTAATAGTCCTCTAAGAGCTGGAAAGGGATAACAAGAGCCCAGATCCCTGTGCAGGATGGGAATGTGGCACCACTGCACACTGGTATGAAAAGTCAAAAAGAGAAATGGAAAGGAGCTTCAGGTGATATTATCTTCACTGTTATCAGCTGGCTATTAATTAATTTAATCCCGGTAAATTATTTGTGAAATTGAAATTCCTGAGCTGGTTATTAATGGGATTCTGTAGTAGTAAGCAATTTTCCAGCATGAAACGCATCACATGAAAGAACCTTTGAAAAACAACAAAGAAAACACCAAATAACAAACCCCATAAATTTCATTTGATAAAACTAGTAGCAGTTCATGTGTAAGAAGGGTAAGTAAAATTAAGCCGCATGGAGTTGTTTGCCCATTTAAAAATGGTCTTTTTAAAAAAAACACATTAATTGTAATTAACTATAACCAAAATACTAGCAAAATTAAATACTTGGAGGATTTCAGTGGGGCATACAGGTATTGCAACAGAGACTTGCCTTGGAAACAAGAGTTGTCTCCAATTGGTAAAAATGTAATTCTGTAAAATTGGATTTCTGGACTGGGATGAGCAGGGAGTTGTGGAATTGAACAGTCTGTGTTGACGAGGCTGCCTTATCCAGTACAGATCTGCTGTCAAGTGTTCAGAAATGCTGGAGAGGATTCAAACAGGAGTAGCAAAACTGATTTGAAGGAGGGAATGGAGAGACTCTGCCTGGTATAGCAGCAAATGAAAACTGGCAGCTGAAATGAGCTGTTGCACAAGTTACTCACCACAACTGCCTGAGAAACCTGGCACAAAGTGCCTCACCAATTTCATTCTGAGCTCCAGCAACTGCCTAGGAATTTCCACATGCTGCTGTCTAAAAACTGATTTCTTCGAAGAAATCTGGTTTGTTTTTAATTTAGTGTATTTTACACTTCATTTATGAAATCAAATTAGCATGAAACAGATTGACATGTTTTAGCCAAATGTGATGCACTTAAACCAATGTGGGGACAAAAGGATGACTTTGGAAAATAGCTGGTATGGGGCAAATTTAACCTGATTAGGTAATTCTGTTTAAAAATCTAAATGATAATTTTTTTTGCGCTCTTTTGGAGAAAATATCAAGTGTGCAAAAGTGTTTGGTTATTCTGAAGCAGGTGTTCACCCTTGTCTCCAGGATCTGGATGGAGGGTGGAGTGAGTTGTATCCCAGTAACTGCAGGGTTTTGAAATGGTGGAAAATATTCCCGTGTGTTGTAGTAGTCACTGTGTGCAGTGTGTGGAATGGGAGGGTAATGGCTGTTGTAAAAATGAATTAGGGCTGTTTGTGAGTAAGTGCTAAAATGGAACCTTTTTTTTTTTTAGGTGTCAAAAACGATGATGCTTGTAGTGAAAGTCTGTGTGCATAATGTAGGGGGAAAAAACAAACCTGGGAAGCATTAGTGAGGGAAGATTAAAGGAAGAGCCCATCTTCAGAGCCCATATGGGATTTGTAGCTCCAGCTCTGTCTGCAGAGACATCAGGGAAGGGGGCGAGAGCCCTGAGCCTTGATGGATGCAGGGAAACCCTCGCAGCTCTTGGGGCCTTTTGTTCCTGGTGCTTCATTAGGCAAAGCAGATGTGAGATTTAAGGGATTATTTGCTACTCCTACAGAGGCTCAGCAGCAAAATCCAATACCAAAAGACCTCAAACTCGAGTTTCTATTTCGTCTGGGGAATTGTAAATTTGGAATGATACTGTATGAAGTCTAAAATGTAGTTTATAATCAACCACAAATTTTGGTTTATGGCTTCTGTGCCATCATTTAAAATCCTGTTATCCACACTGCCTGACCTGACTTAACAGTCAGAGGGCAAATCTTCTGAGTGGAAATAATTTTACATCAGTTGCCAGGTACAGAAACAAAAAGGTCAAAATGAGATACTGTGATAAAAGCTGTTCTGAATTACCTATTACATGTAATAGCTGTATTAATAATAATAGTAGAGGTTGAGAGAGCAGGATGGGTTAATGTAGCTGAATAAAACACCTTTTAGGTGTGAAATATTTTCTACATATTACGTTGCTTGTTAAAAACATGTCATTATCCCAGAGATTTAATAAAACATTGGAAGGTCAATGAAAAAATGAATGTTTTGATAGGACAAGATACACTGGGACAGAGGTAGTTGGAAGTCATGCTGCAAGTGAGGAGTGCATTCAGCTATTGAGACACTCCAACCTTTCCCTCAATGTTTATGGAACCCAAGAGAGGTTCTGCTGCAGTTTTCTGAAAGGAATTCTTTAAGTAAAGCCAACTATTGGTGTACAATTTGTACGTAAAAAGAATTTTTGTGTTGGCACTGCACTCTGGGGTCTACATTTCTTCAGCATTGCTGTGCTATTAAGTTCTTGTTTTTAAGGATCAGTGAATCTGTACCAGCTTGCTGGGTGGTTGTTAGAAAAATGGGTAAGTTTTTTCAGTTACAATTACATTAAATGTGAATTTAAATATACTCTTCACTTATATTGACTTTGATTTTGGATTTCAATTTATTATATTTGCTCTAAAAGTATGTAAGCTCTTAATTATTTTTTTCTTAATCTGGCATTTGATCTGGATTGCCATTTTCATCTGTTGTCTTTAATTAGGCTTCCTGCTGGGTTTTGTAGCTTTACAGTTCATACCTTGTGAAAGAATCAATTGATTTCAGTGCAGATTCCCACGGTTACTATTCTTAAATTGCTTTCTTAGCTCAGCAGAGTGGTGGCACAGTTCTTGAAATTGGATCTTTACAGCCACTGCTGTTTATTTAAAAGAAACAGATTACTCATGATTTTTCTGCAGCTTGCATGTGATGATTTGATAATTTATTTGTAGGCAGTGTTTGCTCCAAGGAGTCACCAGAGCTGCTTCCTAATTCACTCACCCACAGTGTCTTGGGGCTTCCTCTGGGTACCATCCAAATATTCCAGAAGTGCACAGGAATGTGACTAAAGCTGCACCCAAAGCATGTGATTTCAGTGTTTTTAATTTTATATATATGTATATAACATATGTGTTTCACACCATGTAACAACTGTCAGTAGGTATTTAGTCAAGAGGATGTAAAGGGCAGGTAAGTCTGGAGATGGAGGTTGGTGCAGAGGAAAGGGACAGTGGAAATGATTTAAATGATTCTGGGATTTATGGGGCAGCTCTCTGGAAAGTCAAAATGGGGTTTTTGGCAGAGGGTTGCAAAAGGGAAATTTTTTTTCTTCTTATCTCCAGCATAAAAATGATGGGTGGAGTAAGCAGTGATGTCTTGAACTGTGTGTGAAATGTGTTATGGCTCTTCCAAGTCCTGCTCTCAGTGAACCTGTAAAACTGTGGGTAGTCAAGTGATTTGAAACATGTCAAATACTGCTCTTAAAGCTCTCAGAAACACGTGTGTAAATTCATGATTTTTTTCTTAAATTAAACAATATTGAACACGTTTATCATTATTATGGGCAGCCTGATAGTGCTGTGTGGTAAATACCCTTCACTGGCTCAAAGCTCTGCCAGGAGAAGAATCAGCACAGCAAAGATTTTCCTTCCTTCTTGCTAAAACCTACCTTAAACAACTGTTTTAAGACATCAAGTCGTTTAAAACACAAAATTAAAACCATGTTTTAAATCAGTTAATACTGGGAAACACAATTAATTTTTATGTCAAGAACTTCTACCCAGGCATGCTGTGGGGGCAAAAAAAGATTCTTGAATTGTTTTTTGCTGTCTGTAATTTTATAAACCTGTTCTCCACATCAATGTGGGCTGCTTTATCCTAGGAAGCACTGGATATTCTATAACCCTAATTAAAACTGTGCCTTATTAACACTGTGGGCTGCTAAGTGCATTGTGTCATTATTTAAGACTGTTACTCAATGCTTGTTTCATTCAATATAAAGTCCCAAATCCCACCTTCCACTGGGAAAATTGTATTTTTCATAGAAATAATGACATATCCCATAATTTAGCTCCTGCAACTTTAGATTTGTGCTCTACCTCTTTATTTTTAAAATAAAAATAGAAAAACAAAATATAATTTTAAATATTATAATCTTTTTGTCTGTGTGTGTGTGTGTTCAGATAATTTGGGTCTTATTGCTAAAGGTATATCTGGATAAAAAAGTGTTAATATGGGATGGAGCCTGGATTCTGTCTGAGCCAGCCTGTTCTGGAGAGGGGCAAAGCAGGTCATATCAGTGGTGAAATCATGTTGTGTGAAGTGCAGAGCTTCTGATGAGCTGTTCTCTTATCTGACATTACATGTGAATAGAAAGCAAGTTGCCTGTAAAGCTTGCTTTAAATTTTAATAAACTGTAGAAAAGATAAGTGGTAATTTCCTGATGTGGATGCATCTAGTAGA